CAACCTTAATTTGTGGGCTCGGGGTTCAAACCCCAGCATTTCACGCCTGCACACCGTCACCTGTGTTCCTGGAAGAGCAGCGTTTCCTCAGGTCAGAGCAGTGCTTCCTCACAGGTCCTTGGAGATCATAACATCATGTAGATATTTTGCTTTTAAGCCTGAATATGCCCGGTTATATTCTGACTGCTGTTGAGGTCATTTAAACTCCTCAGTGGTGCTCAGTGCTTTGAACTGATGATCACATCTCACTTTTATTTTTAAAGGAAATTCAATTCAAAAATTTTTTTTTTCTCCTCACACTAATGCCCAGGGAAAATTTTGAATGCTTCCCCATCACTTTTCCCACCAATCAAGGATGGAAATGCCCACCAGCAAGCTCTGCAAAGTGGATTCAAAGTCACGGGGTGCACTGTGCATTTTGTCCTGGTAAGTGTCCTCTTGCCTTACACTGAGTTATGACATGGAGTTTGCTTTTTTCTTTTCTTTCTGAAGGCAGAAACAGGAAGAGGTAATAGGAATGTGTGAAAATCTTGGGACTGTTACCAGTAAAAACAAGAAGATGTGGGGGTTACATTGCATTTGTGGGTTTTTGAGGTGCTATCTTCTACCTTCATATTATGGGTGTTTTGGTTTTTTTTTAACAGTTTCTCCTACTCTCAGCAAACTGCCCTCTGAATCTTTTATAGCCTGTGTCTGTCTTCCTGCTGTACCCCCTAATGTAATGCAGGTACCCCAACAGAGGTGGCAAGCCTCTCTAGATGTACTTTAAGACTTCTGCACACAACTACACATGTGCTCATCAAGATGTCTCATGAGACTTTCTGTGCCCTGTCTGCATTGCCTGTAACCTTCCTGAGAGTGTCCACCAGCCTGTTCTAAAAGACTCCCCATATCCCCGTTTCAGGAGGAGCCCAGTCTGAAAGCAGTGATCCACCGGGAGCCGGTGTCAGTGCGGGTGGAGGACACGGAGGAGACCCTGTCAGAAAGGGTTAAGGAAGCCGAGTGTCGGGCCTTCTCCATCGCCCTGCAGCTGGTGGCCAGTGGAGCCGTGCAGTTAGGAGATGATGGTAAAACCTTCTGGAGACAAGAGAGACAAAGTCTGTATCTCCAAGAAGAGAAGAGAGACTGCACATCCTCTCTGGTGGCCCTGGAGCCTCAAGAAAACAATGTGGTGTAGCCAGGTCAATGAGCAGCTTGCTCCCTGCTCACCTTTCCCTCCTCCTCCTCGCTGCCCTCAATGTGCTTCTTTCTGACTGCAGGAATATCAGTGTCTCAGGTTTCCATTCTGAGCCATGATCCTTCTCCCTCACGTGCAGCTTTAGGTACCCTCCTCTTGCAAAACTGGCAGTGGAAGCCAAGCTACCATTTCAAATTTTGAATTTTTGTTTTGTTTTGTTTTGTTTTGTTTGTTTGTGTTTGTTTTTTTCCCCCCACCTATAAAGGATACTGAGTTACAAAGCAGAGAGGGGGATTGAGCTGTAAAAATGGCCTAGTACTTCAGAGGGGAAAATAATTTCTTCTGAGGGATCATTTTTTGTTGTCTGTATCACGTTGCAGAGCACCAAGAGCTTCACAAAGCAACCACAAACAGGAGCCATGCTCCTGCGAGAGGGTGACCAGCTCCTGTTGGATGGAAGAGGCCAGACGTGTCAGGGTGGATCAGAAGCGAGGCCCAGCCTGGCACAGTGTGGATTTGGGGGTGAACAACTGTTAGGGATGAAAGCATAGTTATGTGAGAGGAGGTGGGAGCCTGCAAGGACCTTGTCTTTGTGAGCCCCACCACTGCAGGAGCGCCTCAGGGTACAGAGCAGACGGTGTGCAAATGTGCACCAGTGTGGGAGCCAGCATCTAGAGAGCTGCCAAGTAGAAGATCCATAGGCCAACAGGGCAGGGAGCTTTTAAAAGGAAAAAAAAAAATGTAGAAACCAACTCCACAGAGTATTTGTCAATGTGGTGTAATTGTGCATACTGAATGTCTAGACACTGTCCCCTGCCCCTTGAGAGGGGGCAGCATGTTGACATTCTCAGAATTTCATCTTAAAACGTGCATCTTGAGGGATGAAAATTTGGTTGGGGGGATTAAAAACCACCAGAGTTCAAGCATTTTTTATTTTCCTTCATCCTTAATTCAGCAGAACAAGCCTAACTTGCAGTGGCAGGACAATCTCCACTTTCTTTCTTGACTGAATGACTGGCTTTGTCCAGAGTCATTGCTGCTAAATAAAACCTTCTATCTGCCAGAACAATGACTTGCATGCGAATAACTAGTAAGGAATCAGAGGAAGAAAGCTAGCTAAGAACCTGCTTGAGCAACCTAGAAAAGAGGTAGCCAGAGCTGAGTTTTCCAGAGGAGGGATCACTAATAGCCATTAGATGCAGTGGAAAAAAGAAAGTACTTGTTTTGTCATGACATGTACTGTACTAGTAAGGGACATACTCTCTATCTTGCCCTTGGCTCTGTCAGGCTGAGAGCATGAGTCAGCTCCAGTTACAAAGTCTGAATTTTTCCTTTTTTTTTTTTTTTTTTTTTTTTAATGTGTCACTAGTGGTGTTTCAGTAATTTAGGGGAGAAAAATTCAGTTCCCACCTGTGAACTCTGCCATTTATGTACAGAAATCTGTATTTGTCTCTTGCATTCCAGTGACTGGAGCAAGGAACATGTATTTTTCATGACCTGGGAGAGAGAGAAATGCAACAAGGCAAGATGAACAAATGTTAGGTGTATATATAGGTGATTTTTATGATAAACACATGGCTTAGCTTGCTTTTAGTCTGTTGTAACTGTGGTACTTCCTGGTGTGTTACTATTTGAATTGCATAGCATGACTGAATGTTCAAAACTTAACAAATAAAATGTTGAAGGAGGACAGGGTGCTAGTGACTGTGTGCTCACAGGCCTCCAGACCGTCACCGTGGGATTGAACAACTCTGCCTCCAGCTGCCTTCCTGGCGCCCCTCTCAGATTGGGTGTGGTGATAGGCTCTTCATTTATGTATTCTTTTTACAGCATGGTAATTGAAGCAAAGCCATCTAAGCTCCAGCTCGCAATGACATTTCTTGTAATGCATTTTTAGAAATAGGTGCTTAAATCCCATTTGTCATCAGCCGTAGATGGCAAAATACCTGAGCCTTGCTCAAGCTGTCTGTGATGGAATGGGGTATGGGATTTGGAACACCCAGGTCTTCTGCTGTTGGCTCCTCTGGCAGTGATCAGACTGCTTTTATCAATAATGTTATAGTTATTAACAGTGATTTCATCTCTGGTAGTCTCACTTCCTCTAACACGTGAGTTAATTTCCATTCAGTTTCTTCTGGCTTGTGGAAGGTTTCCTTATCCCTGGCGGGGGCAGTGCAACCAGGCAGGCTGGAGCCCAGCCAGAGCGGGGTGTCCCCACAAGATGGGCCGGCTCTGCCACCCCAGTGGCAGTTTGCCTGGGGAGGAAGGGGGGTGGGAGCCCTTCTGTGGGAGGGCAGGTTTGGAAGTAAAAACGCTGGGCTGAAGACTTAGCTTTTATTTGCTCTTTACAAGCAAATTAAATTGGACCGTGTCATTTTCCTCTGTATTTGCTTGAGCTTTAACCTCAGTGACAAACAATGACAGGAATGTTCTGTCAGCAAGTTTCTTCATCGAAGACCCTCTGGCCACGGCAACTCTAAGGTCACCACGGTCGGTGACTCAGGACGGACCTATGCAGGACTGCACATGCCTCTAACCTCACACACTGATCTACAGTTGTTGTACTGAAGACAAAGTTAAATTCTATTTCACAAGCTCCTCCTCCTCCACCTCATACCTCTGGTAAAGGAATTCCAAGGAAAGATTCTGATATTTAATTTTTAAACTTTATTAGACTTTATTTTAAATCCAAATTGAGATTCCATCGACATGGAAGTTCCATAAGGACATCAGTGTGCAGAATACAAATCAGCTTCCTCTGTATTAAAGAGGAGTTCTAAAACATACATCATCAGCTTTAGTCAGATGCTTCTAATTTGTAGGGGGGGAAATCGATTATTTTAGTAAATACACAAAAATGTATTTCACAACAAACAAGCTGTATTTTCACAACTGTACTAAAACACAAAAAAAAAAACAGGCACTTTTTTTGCAAGAGTTGAGCTTTGCAAGAGTGAAAACACCTGATTGTTTTCAGAATGATAATATTTACTGGGTTTCCATCAGTATTATTCCAGGTGAAAATACTGTTCCAAGAAAAAAGGCACTTAACTTCAGCAGAATTTCTGAAGAATGTCTTGGAAGCCAAGAACATGTTTTGTATCCAGTCCTAACTCCCTTTCTGCTCATCCAAAACCACCCCAGCTCTTCTGGCTCTGAACACATCTCTGAGGGGAATTCATACCTGGATTCACATGGAGATACTTGAAGGCAAACGGTCAGCAGACATATTATTCCATTTGGCATCTGCTTGATAGCAGGTCCCATATTTGAAATTACAGGACACGCCCATCATCTAGCCCAGACAAGAGCTACCAACATTAAAACAGAAACTATACGAAAAAAAAATCCATTTCATTATCTGCAGGAATAGTTAGTATTTTGAGAGGTGAGTTTTTCTTGGTTAGGCTAGAGATTTTTATGGGTAAAGTTTTTTTTTTTTTTTTTTGCCTTCAGCTGTCTCTTTCATTGTACGAGTTCCATTACTTTTCCTCAGAAACACTTCACAGCACATGGCAAGAGAATCCCCTGTTACAGCCTGTATGGTCTGTTTGGAATACCGATGTTCCTAAATCAATCTCAGAGATGCTCAGATCGCTCTGTAACCAACTGAATGGTTTTTTGTTTGTTCAGAAAGTGACTGAGAACTGAAATGTTGGCCAAGGAAATTATTCCGGTTAGGACAATGTAACAGAGCCATCGCCAAACTCCTGAGAACAGCCCCCTGCCTTACTATTCCCCGTTGTGGCTTTCTCCAGATTTGACTTTGAATCTTTAACCATCTGAGTGAGAAGATGACGTGGCAAACTCTATGTTGAAAGCACTTTGTGATGAGAATACAGCGTGTGCGTCATCAGGCCGTGACCTCTGTTCTGATCAATGAAGGCACCCCAGCTGTCCCATCTGAGGACGTTCACGGACACGCTGCTCCTATTTCCAGCAGATCTTGCCAGCTTCCCCCACCTGTACGGCCCCACTGGCGACAAGCTGCAGGGCGGCTGGGAAGGCTCGGTGCTCGGCCTCCTTCACCCGCTCGGACAAGGTCTCCACTGTGTCACCCACCTTAACAGGAACTGCCTCCTGGAAAATGATTGCTCCAGCGTCGACCTCCTCCTGTAGAAGCAATAGCCAGAAAGTCTGTACGATGGCAGGAGAGAGAAGGGGGCCCACGTGCACAACAAATGTAATCCCACAACAACAAATGTAATCCCACTGCCTTGAGGACCTGTTTATCATTATGTTATTACAGGAAACATGAATCTGGGCCAAGATGAGGAGTGCGGGAATGATGCTGGCACTCACATGGGCGTGTGAGGAGCTAAGAGAAGTTCAAAGAAAAAGAGGAGGCAGGCAGAACACCAGCGAGTAACATTTCTGCTACAGGAAACAATAAAAGCCATGTTAACTGGGAACGTGATAGGCTACTAAATTGGACAAAATTATGATATTTCAAGTCAGAAGAGAGATTTAGCCAAGCCTTGGCACAGAGACAGACCAGTAGGCCCCATCAGATCTTTCTTTTGCATGTTAATGGGGCAGATCCCTGCTGCTCAGTTATTGTTTCTTGGTACATTGCCACACAGGGAAGAAACCCCAACTCATATCCTGAAGAAAGGAATGCGATTTTTCCTTCTATCTGGAAAAATATTTTTGTGTCTTTTTCCAAGACAAAGCAAAAATGAGAACAGACTACAGGAGCAGTGGAAAAGGGGAGGATAATCTGAAGAATGCATCAGAGGAGGGAAAACTGGTTGCTGCCGATGCTGAGAACAGAACAAGATGGAAAAAACGCTCCCTGACTGATAAAAATGTGCATCTTCCAAGCTGAGAGATCACTGGCTTTTGTTCTCTTCATTTCTGACTAACAGTAATTGTTAAGTTTTTCTCTCTTCCCACAAACACTGGGTTTCTTCTAAACAAATCTAAGCTTCTTGTGCCATTTCCAGTGCTTTGTTCTATCTTCTTTTTTCTTTTTCTTGAAAGCAACAAATAAGGAAGGTTGTACATTAAAATCTAAGAAGTTGGTGCTGTGTAGTAATAAAGATTTTGGCTTAGCCAAGGGCTTATAAGAACCAGTACCCCACTCCAACTAGTGGAAGGCAGCAGTGGGATGCTTAGGGAAGAAGTTACCTTAGGTAAAGCTTAAACTCCTGTATAGACTCTTAATTTGCAGTTCCTTCTCCAGGGACAGCAAACTAAACCACTCTATTTTCCAATAGTGTTATGAATGAACAACAGAGGAATGGTAATCCGCTGTGATGGAATAAGGGTGTTGCAAGCAAGCTCTGAGGTGAAAATCTTCAGACTAATGAATTACAGATTTAAAGGGAGGGCAAAGGAAGTACTTACAGCTACAAAGTGTACAGTACAGCCTGTGACTCGGACTCCAGCTTGTAGCACCAATTTGTGGGCATTTGCTCCCTTAAAAGAAGGCAGCAGCGATGGGTGGATGTTCAGTATTTTTCCTGGAAAATTATAAGCAAGGTCATTGGCTTTTGGCATTCAGCCTTACCAGAGTGCTAGAAGCACCATAATCAACAGAGGAACAAAATACATTTGTGAAAAAGATTTTTCATTACTTTTGCATGTGCTTGTTTTCTGACGGTACGGACGGATAACCAGCCCAAAGCACTTCGGAATGTCTCGCTACTTCAGAACAATCAGGCAGCAATCAGTTCCAATTAATTGCATGGGTAAAGCATATTTCTCCAGCAACTAATAGTGATTATTTTTTCCATGTAGCTGTCCTTTCCCTCAGCATGTTGCCCTTCTCTTCTTTGATCACAAGCGCAGTCCTCTTTCTTACAAACTCAGCACCCAGAAGAAATTCGGTGCGGTTTCAAATGATGTAACAGACCCCCCCATGACAAGGCAAAAATTCTTTAGCCTGGACCTTTCCTCCACACCTGTTTTGGCTTACTAAAAGACAACAGCTGCTCGTATAGGAGCCCTTCTCTCTGCCCTTCTGAAAAGCACGTGTCCACCACTACTGCTTTCCATGTGGAAAGTTGGCTGGGGCATCCTGAAATTCATAGTGTAACCTCTAACGCTCAGGTGCGACCGTGGTTATAACCTGGGAAGCCTGCGCGTTACGTCTCCCTTGAAAGAGAAAGCACGTGCCCAAGTTCCTACCTAGGCATGAAGTACGAGAGAGTGGCTGCCCATGACCTCAAGTTCTCACCACCAGAGCAATGCAATGGTTAAACCATGAGAAAACCTTCGTTCTTCTGGCAGACTTCCCCTGTCTGCTCCTAATATGTCTGTGACAACTCCTCCTGCCCGTTCTGGACCAGAGTGAAATCAAAAGGTGCTCGATAGCCCTAGATCTTCTTAGATTCAGTACAAACCCTTACAGGAGAAAAAAAAAAAGAGTGGCCATGGATACTATTTATACCACAGTGTGCTACACCCACGCCGTCTCTGCATGCCTCCTGTTTAGGAAGACTGTATGTCATCGGGATGCACTGAGCAGCACCTAAATGCCAAGCAGGGAGAGGGAGCTGACCCACGCTGGCAGAGGCAGCAGCGCTCCGAAATAGCAGCTTACGGTTCCGTAACGCGAAGCGCAGGCCATCGCTGGCCGCACCCCACGAGACCTGCGCTCTCCCGGCGGCCTCTCAGCCAGGTTTTGAACCTGTGCGGCTTAAAGGTATCGATTCATCTTCAACAATAGCTCAAATGTGTTTTGCATCTCAAAAACGCCCCTTTTTAAGCATCAGCATCTCCCTTCCTGCTGCTTGAGCAAAAAAGTATTTGGGACAGTAAGCTGAAAACAACACCCCGCACTTCTATCTGAGTTTCCCCACTTTTCTGTTACAGTACTGTCAGAAACTGCTCTAAAAGAACATCGTTTTCCATTTGTTTGGTTTTGTTTTGGTGTTTAATCTGTTCTTTATGTTAACATTCAAAGCCAACATTTAAGGGCTGTTAAGCAAGAGTTTCACAATTAATGTCACACTCTGTGTCTTTGTGACTGCGAGAGCAAGAAAAAGTAACAGCTTTCAAGAGAGCAGCAACAAGAACTGATAACTCATGGGTACCCTAGGGTGCTCTATGCCTAGGCACAGCTGGGCCTGTTAGGTGGAACAGATCCCTAAGCTGAACTGAATGCTTGAGCTCAGATCCAAGATCTAACTGGAGCATACTCTTGGTCAGACCTCAGGTAGACATCTGTTTTCGAGGTCAGTTCAGTGCTGGACATTTGAAACATGAGTTGAACCATCCTGTACTGAAGAAAGTCTTTTCTTTCATTCTCAGGCCAGTCATACATGTAACACAAATCCTGCTCTGTGCGGGGCGGTCATCAGCGCTGGAAGTGCTCTGTCCTCAGATCAGAGGGAACTGAAGTCATCCTTTATTTGCACAAGATCTCCTCACTACAGGAAGTTTTTTCCCATTTCCTACACAGATACTCTACTCAAAATACATCTCTTGTAGTGAGGGATTCCTCTCTCCCAACTGCAGCTGTCTACAGCGCAGACATTTATGACATTTACATCCTTGTCTTCTGGACTCTGTAACGAACGGAGAGAAACAAAACCAATTCCTCTGACTGACTTGAGCCGACAGCTTTAGCACAAGATCAGTTGCCTCCCTGGAATGCCTGTTTTGCTCCATTGAATTTAAAGAGAGGTTTGTTTTAAAAGTAGTTCAGGTGTAAAAGGTTTGTGTCATCCACACACCCAGGGTAACACAAAAGTCACCCTGTGAACAACAAAGGCTCCCTGGAGAGCTGCAATGTATAGGCTGACAAGCCTGTAACTGGGCATAACTTGCTGTAACTGGGACCAGCAAGAACTAGTTTCTGTAACTGTGACTTAACCCACAGCAGAGCAAACAGTGAGCAGAGCAGCTACCTCTGTGGGATTCAGGACTCCCTAAAGAAACAGAAAGAGGAGGAATGTAAAAAATGGGAGAGGGAGTGCAGCCACTGAAGTAGGCAGAAGTGTTACCAGCCCCTAACAAAGGCCTGGAAAAATTGTAAAAGATGATGAGAATGGAGATATTGTGAACACTTGGGACAAATAAGAGCAGGTGAAACACAGATTCAGACAGCTGCTGAGATGTCTGAAGACTGGCAAGGTCTTGTTCACAGGAAGTGCACACTGCTGCCCAGTTTTGAAGTTTTATATGGAGACAAAGCAGTCCACCTGTTAGGGGAAGGAATTCTCAGTGGCTGGATGCTCACCTCTCCCCAGCCAACACCTACCGCTTAGGCAACAATTTACCCTGCACCTCACATTTGCAGAGGTCTGAAGTCTTCACAGCCTTATTTTAAACTATCTTCTAGTAAACCAAAGATTACAAGATCTGCATTTGCCCCTGGCTTCCTTAAACCTCTGTGGAAATGACAGAGGGAAGAGGGAAAATACTGCCTTTCTCTTTCTCGCCCTTTCCCTTACAAGATGGAAAGAGTCTAGTTTTCCTGCAAACACAGAATTTATATGGTCCCTTTTCTATATATATATTTTTTTATTTTATTTTTCCTGAGGATAAGCTATAAAATATTTTTTAAAATCCATACAGTACTATACTGTGCTTACCTTCCCATTTTTTGACAAAAGGACCTGACAGTATTCGCATAAATCCAGCCAGACAGATCAGTTCCACTGAGAATTCTTCAAGGACTTTGTCAACTGCACTGTCAAATTCAGTGCGACTTTCATACAACTTATGGTCAATAACCTGTGATAACCCGAAAGACAAAGAAATATGGACATGGTATTAATTTAATCTAAAAGTCCTAAGAGCACAATGAAATAGTACCCTGGAGTAATAAACAAAATCTCCACATGTGGCTCGAGTTGGGTGTCTATCCACAGCAAGAACAGTTGCATCTAACAGACAAACATGCATTCTTTACTCCTGTTCATACAGAGAAATCATCAGAAAAAAACAAGAGTTTTGGTTTATTAGGCCCACAGCTGTAGGCCTGAGCACTTTGACACAATTTAACAACCTATAAATGTACCTCATTAAGACAACCTAAAGTCTAACAAAGATTTCACTCACTTTAAGGCCTCGGAACCTTGCTGAAAATTATATTACAAAACTTTGAAAGAAAGGCTAATTACAAACTCATAAACCAGCTCCTACTGCATAAAGTCAATATACTTGAGTTACATATTTTCCATCCAGGATACATCCCCTAATTTAATCGGGAAGAGGCAGCGCTATGTGACTTAAAACATCCACAGTTTTTAAAATAAAGGTACTTGTTAATCCCTGTCAGATTCACTATGGTAGTTTTGAAAAAACAGAATGGGTGAGCTGAAAAGGTGGCAGAGAGCACTAAAAATAGAGCCCAGCTCAACACTGGGCTGAACTCTGCCAGGAACTACCAGGTAGTAACTGGCGCAGCATGTACTCAGTGCTTCTGTTTCACCACTCACTCTCCATCTTAACCACTGAGACCATCAGCTCTCCCAGACTGTATTTTTTCCCTCACTCCATGTTTATTCTTCCCCTGCATACCATGGACATATTTTACTTGTGATCTTTGTGTACTCCAAACAAGACACAGCTGTGCTAACATTCAGATCCTGCTAACAGGAGAGCTAATAGCTTCCTTTGGGAAGCTTCCTTTGGGCCCAGATCTTCCTTCCCTGTGCCTGTAGTTATCAGTGGAACGTGACTGTGAAACGCTCCTAAGTCAGACCAGTAGCATGTCACATCCCTAATAGAAGCGACTGTACAAAAGGCAAAGCAATGCAGCACAAACTCTGTGGAAACACAGCTTGCTTCCAATGAATGCTGGAGAGACTGAAGGAATGCCCAGGGAGTCAGCGGAGGGTCCCACTGTGTCCGACCTCTTTATTTCATTCAAATAAACTACCATGTCTGTTTAGCATGTAATTTTAAAATTAAATTAAGGTAAAATAGCTTGTTACTTCAGTTTAAGTGCACTACGGTTAAATAAATGGCAAATTTTAAACTGGAACTGTGAAAGTTTTGCACTGGTTTAATATAATGACTGTTCCAAAAACCATCAGGATTGCCGGCACCTCTGAGAAGGAGAAAAGGAAGAATTCTCCTTCCAATGTCAGGTAGTTTGCCCAAGGGCACAAGTTCATGACAGACCTCATAAGAAAAGCAAAGGCTTCCTATCAAACCATCTCTTGCCATATTAACACTCATTATCTCACAGTACCTTTCTGCTACAGTCAGACCTAATGATGGCTAATTTTGAAAGGAGGAGAAATGCTTACCCTTGTAGGAATATCAGCTCTTTCAGCTTTCTTTAACCCCTCCACACCAGCTTTGTTAGAAACAACAAGAACTATTTGGGCAAAACTGGTGGGCTTCTTTGTGCTATTTATGAGGGCTTCCAGGTTTGTGCCTATGAGTGAAAAAATAATGAATGAATATCAAGGCGTTCCTGGAGAATAAACACAGATAACAGCTAGAAGAGGTTTTAAATAAGCAGCTATGTGAGACCCAATTCAAAACCCACTGATGTTAACAATAATAGTTTAACTGATCTTGCTAGGAACTGAATTTGACAGCTGGAGGCTACAGGACTTTTATTAGCAATTAAATTTGTAAACTGTAATTTATGGAATTGGAATGATGGTCTTGTCCTTAGCAAGTGAGAATACTGGAACCCCTAGGAGTGCTGCAAGAGGAAATTCTGATCTCCTTGTGAAATAATGTTGCTGTCCCTATAGTGCAACACAGTAGTTGCTAGAATCTGGACACATGCAGAAATTTGTATCTAAAATGAACACAGATGCAATTTGTAGTCAGTCTGCAGCAGAAGTTAAAGATCATTCTCTTTGTGATTGACATTAATCCAAAGGCAAAATCTATTCTGCCTGTTACAGAAGCCTATTAGAGCCTCCATGGAGAACTGCAAGGACTTAACAGATTTTAAATCTGCAGTTCCTTTTTCAACAGTCTGTTTTACACTGTAGTAAAGAATATAACTCTCACCTGTTCCAGAGATAAGGACAGCAACCTTCACTTTGTTTGTTTGGATCTTGCCTTGGATATGGCTGTGCACAGACAGTGACCTGTTTGCTTGCAAGGCTCGAAGCAGATTATGGACTTTAACACGGGCAGAACCTGAGCATGAGCAAGAAGAAAAAAAAAAAAACAACAGAACACATAAATAAAGGAAGAGAAAGAGAGAGGAGAAAACTATCCATGAAAAGACACTGATAGCACTGCTTTACTTCTCATTATTTATTCCTAGTTCGGATGACATTGGACATGGCTAAGCACGTGTTCTGTGGACTAAGAATGAAGTTATGAGGACTTTCATTTTAACACCCTGTGCAAAAAAGCCATGGAGTTGTCAGTTAAGAAATTTTCAGCTAACCTCCACAGAGACTTAACACCTAGGGACTTAAGCTCTGCATTTTTTTAAAGGAAAACAAAAAATTAATAACCTTTCTGTAAGGAGACCACTTTCCCAATCAGCCAGGCTGCCTCGTGTTTCTGCACGTCCTTGAGGACCTGCTGAGCCAGCTCCTTCTGAACTACCAGGACAGCACCGATGCCACAATTAAATGTCCGAGTCATTTCCTCCTCAGAGAGGTTCCCTTCTTTATGGAGCCAACAAAAGATTTCAGGGATCTTCCAGGTAAGAGCATCTGAAGAGAATTGAAAATACAAAAGAAGAGTGGAAATCACTACCAATGGACAAATATGAAAATTAATTCTTACAGTATTAAGAGGCAAGATCTGGATGGAAGGCACTGACAAAGTTCCACAGCAGCATTATCTTGAGTTAAATTTGCCTTCATCCACAGAAGCAGGATATTTCTTCCTTCCTTACTGAATAAGGCTTTGGAGTAGAAAGAAGTGTCACTCTGGGAGGAAATTAATGGTATCACTCTGCTGCCATTTGTTAATCAGTAATTCAAAATTGGCTCTGAGGCAGTCTTTGGAAAATCCTCTTCCTGAAGGTGACAATTCTGCTTCTAGAGAAGCTATTGTACCAGAATGATAGCCTTAAAAACTGGCACAGAAGTCTCACACTGCCCCCAATTCCAACAAGGTAAGGACAGCCTACAGCAGCATGAGAAATGCTTCTGGACAAGCCACTGTAAAGCAACGCCAAAGACAGTAATTTTCTTTCTTGTCATGTTACCTTTAAAATGATATTATCCCCATTTATATACACTAATGTTCACTAGGGAAAAGTGGAAGAATGATTTACATACAGGTCTGGAATGCAGAACTCAGTTTCCTTATTTTATTGTACAACCCCCTGAACACTGCCTAACCTAGAGTAAGTCATTTACCTTTCCATACTACACTTCCACCATAAATTAGATACTCTTTCTAGCATACCTATTGAGATTGTAGTGAGGATTATAACTCAACCAGTTATGTTGAGTAGCATGAGATGTTTGAGCTAGTAACCATACTTGAATGCTAACTGAAGACTTCACGAGTATCATTTAATTAGTAATAAATTTGTAGGTTATTGCAACTGCTGACAGCTCACTCTGGATTGCTTTCAAAGTTGTTTACACAAAAAGAAATCCAGCAACAATGAAGAAAAAGCAAATATTTCTAGACAGGAAAGTCTAATTCTTACAGTGCAAGTCAGCTGACATGGCCCCACATGCACAGGCTTCTGTATCAATCCATATTAACATGAGGATGTTTCCATAGTGTATTGGTTTAGGCTGGGATAGAGTTAATTTCCTTCATTGTTTCTAGTGTGGGGCCAAGTTTTGGATTTGTGCTGGAAATGGTGTGGATAACCCAGGGATGTTTTAGTTACTGCTGAGCAGCACTTACACAGTCAAGGCCCTTCCTGCCTCTCACCCCACCCCACCAGTGAGCAGTTGCGGGGGGGGGGGGGGGGGGCGGCAGCACGGGGGGGGGGGGGGGGGGGGGGGCAGAAGAAGCTGGGAGGGAACCCAGCCCGGACGGCTGACCCCAAGTGACCAAAGGGATATTCCAGACCACATGACATCACGCTCAGTACAAAGCAGAGGGAAGAAGAAGGAAAGGGGGACGTTCAGCGGGATGCTGTTTGTCTTCCCAAATGCCCACTGTGTGTGACAGAGCCCGGCTCTCCTGGAGCTGGCTGAACACTGCCTGCTGGGGGGAGGTGGTGAATGCATGCCTTGGTTTGCTTTGCCTGTGTGTGTGCCTTTTGCTTTAGCTGTTGAACTGTCTTGGTCTCAACCTAGGAGTTTTCTCATTTCTACCTTTCCAATTCCCTCCCCCATCCCAGCAGGGAGGAGTGAGCAAGCAGCTGTGTGAGGCTTAGTTACCAGCTGGGTTAAACCACAACACATTGCTTTTCTTTTTATCTCACCTAAAAGGACACCGAATGACTCAGGGAGAACTCTGGGGATGTTTTCCAGCAAGCCTCCTCCAGTGATGTGGGCATAGGCTTTCACATGGCCTGAGCGAAGGACAGGCAACAGAGTCTTACTGTAGATTTTAGTTGGGGTTAATAAGAGATCTCCTGTAGATGAAAGAGGAGGAAAGAAGACCAGTTACAGCACAGAAAGAAATGTTAATCAATATAAAGTTGAAGAAGTCTCAAAATATTAATTTGCTGGATACTAATGAGCATTGCACTACAGAAAAACCCACAACGTTCTATCTTTTTTAGCATAAAATTAATTATTTATCCCACTCCTTTAATTTTTTTCCTGCATATGTGGCTCACAGGAAAATGAAGATGAGAACATGTTAAAGAACATCACAGGGTTTTTTTACGCCTTAGAAAAGAAGAGATGAAACAATTGTGTGACATTTGCCCGTTCAGAAGTTCATGTTATAAGGCAAGCAGCTGCATTATTTGTGGTACCTAATGTCTGATCACCGGAGACACCAACTAGAGAAGAGAAATCAAACGATGACTTTTCCACAATTTTCCTTACAAGGCTGTACCCATTGCTGTGAACCCCAGAAGAGGCTACTCCAATAACCACATCTCCATCAGCAATTCTCTCCAGCTGGGGCAGCATCTGCCCTCGTTCCACTGCACCAACAGCAAAGCCAGCCAGGTCGTACTCTCCAGGCAGGTACATGCCTGGCATTTCAGCAGTTTCTCCTCCTGTGGGAAGAGAAAAAAAGAGGGAACCAAATGTCACAGCTCACTCAGTCTAGGGAGAAGAACTTGCTGTGTTTGGTACATGAAACGAGCATTTACTGCTCACTCAGAAGCTTTCCCAACAGGCATCTTCACACTATGCCACCAATACCACAAAGAATCTCTCCCCAGCCTTCCTCACAACCGTTTCATTATTCTCCTTCAAACCCCTCTGCTGGTCATGATGTCTACAAGGAAACAACTAGACAATGATTAAGTTGTCATTATACTATGACCTCTGCCCAATATGCTAACCTACAGTAATGTCGTGTTTTTCTTTTGCAGTCACCAGGTTTCATTCATTCTTCTGTTTCCACAAAGTGTTCCTAGAGGTTTCAAATTTACCTGAGGCATGGTGGAAACTGCTCTTGTGCTCAGTGCTTGACATTGCTCAATACTAGATTCTCTGGAAGCTTTTCCAGGTTTCTACATTACATTGCTACAACCAACTTTAAAATCAAACTTCATTTGCTTAGATACATCTGTATTTAAATCTGTATTTAAGAACATTTGTGCAAAACCAAGCATGTAGAGAAGCCCTTCAGGACCTCACTATCAAATGGTGTGATGAGCTTAAGGTGGCTGAGCTGAGTATTCAGCTGCTGCAGAAATGCAAGGTACAAATTTAGGAACATGCTTCAAATGAGACTTTTATGAGATGATACAAAGAGGGACCTACACGCTCTGTACGTGCACAGTGAAATGAATGTGAGAAGTTGGAGCCCAAACTGAAACCTATTTTGATGATACAGGCTACAGAAAAGCATCTCCTCCTTAGGTTCAAAGTTATTGCATCATCTTTGTCCCTTCTATTCTGAGAGTGCCACAAATTTGGAGAACAAATCATGGTTCTTTTACTTATGGATTCAGATATATTTTTATATTAGCAAAAAAAGATCATTGCTAATCTATTTACAATTTTGCGAAATTACTCTCTGGCAATTAATTTACAACATCCAAAGCCCTTTATAGTTTTAGAAGTTTTCCTATTGGAAATAAAATATTGACATTTCAGTAAGTAATTTCACAGCAAGATTTCACATAACATGAAGTATGAATGGTTTGATTATATTTGAAAAACTGAAAGAACAGTTTAAAGACTATATAAAGGTAAAAGGTATATATAAAGGTAACAGTTCATGCAGGAAAAAATTAAACCAGAACATAAATAGACTCTTGTTCAAGGCTTGTAAACCACCTCAGAATGACACACTCCCACTTAGAAAAAGACTTTTGTTACTAATGTTCTTAAAGAATCGGAAAAAAGGATAGGAATACTGTGTTACCAACTATAAAGTGGTACCTAAAGTAAGCAATTTGAACTGTCATTTTTATCTCAAATGTTACTTTTGAAAAACCATGGTAATTTCCAATGTGTTTTTATAGGAAAAAAAAGAAGGAAAACCAAAAACTATGTGAAGAAACCGTACTTCTGGGGTTTCATTGCTTTAAAATTTAACCTTGTGTTGTATTCCCTTTACAAATTTAATCCTCTTCATTTATGCAAAGAATGTATTTTTCACTGACTTAGAAGTGTTTTTATTGAGTTGAACAGTGTTAAAGCTGTATTTTTTAAGATTCAAGAAGTGAAATACTGCATCATTTTCATAGAGAACTAGATTACTGTCTACCAGAATACATCTTTAATTTGGTAATAAAATGTACTGTGTACTTTTATTATAGGGCTGAAAAGGAAAATTTTTAAATTTATGTCTTAACATCTTGGAACATGCTCAACTTGGTGAAATAAATCTTCAGCAATTCTAATTTTGCTATTACTTTTGTAACTAACAAAACCTGGTTTCTTCTATGTTTCTGTCTTATGGATAACTTCTGGTGTCTTAAGTAGTGAGCTCCAGACAAAGCTTTTGTTGCATTCATAAGGACATTTTTGGGCTTTCTAGTTTTATGAATCTAGCCTTCCTGTCAAATTTGGTCAAAATCAGCCAAGAGGTTCAAAGGATGATACGTATGCACAATAACACATACAAATAGTGTTTCTAGAGTAAAATTTGAGGACTTCCTTTAGGACAAAGGATAAAAAGAAACAAATCTTTTTGGTATGCTTTAAAATCTAATTTAAAAATACAAAGAAAATATTGTTAAGCTTTCTAGGTAGTTGTTATAGTTACAAAGTTAAATGAGATGATACAAATAAGAAAATTTATATGCAACTCCCTAAGCTAATGGCAGCATTTGTAGAGCACTGTCTCCTTCTGTAATCTCTATAGGTTTTGTTCTCTGAAAGCAAAGACACGTGACACTTTGTTTTTTTTTTCACTCCTCTAAGATTCTTCAATATGTTAGGAAAACAAACACATTAAAACTAAAGATATTGCGTAAGATCTTTCCCATCCTTCAAAGAAAAGCACTCATACCCAAAAGAGCACATCCTGCTGTCTTGCAAGCTTCAGCTACTCCTGCAATGACGCCCTGAGCCACTTCAACGTCAAGTTTACCACAGGCAAAATAGTCAAGGAAGAAGAGGGGCTCTGCTCCTTGGGCCAGGATGTCATTGACACACATGGCGACCAGGTCCTGCCCTATGGTGTCGTGCTTCTTACACACTTGTGCAATCTGCAAAACACGAGGAGAGAACCCGTTGGTTGGCTTTTGACAAACAGGAACGTGAGCAGAGAGTCTGCAATGGATGGGGGTCAAAGCCACACTGATCCTCTAGATGCTTTTTGAGGAGCATTTTTTATCATCTCTGTGAGCCTCTACTAACATGTTATTTTAGGAATTGTTACTTTCTTGACTGGCAAGCACAAAAGGCACTTTACAGAAGGGGATTGAACTGGAAAGGGTTTCAGTGCTGTTTGCGTAAACACAATAGCAACCGTGTAATTAGATTATTTTCCCCATGAGTAATCTTTTTGAGGGTGGAGATTGTACCTTAATGAAATGGGAGTCCCTGATTACATACTTAAAAGTGAGTTATTTTAAGCATCATTTCAAATATGGCTGTTTACATGCCAGAAATGAAACGTATATTAATTTCTTTTGCTTGAAGGGGGGCAATTTTAGTTTTCATTCATTTTTAGAAAGACAAATAGGTACTTTTAAAAGACAACAGATATTTTCTGTTAAGACATTTTCCCTTCTGTGGTATTCTCCTTCCTTTATATGGATTTTCACATTACCTTGAGTTTTGTGCCAACACCATCAGTTCCAGATACCAAGATAGGATCTTTGTAACCAGCTGCTCTCAAATCAAAGAGGCCAGCAAATCCTCCAAGTTCTGCATTGCAGCCTGCCAGTCAGAAAACAGGACAAAATAGTAAGGTTTTACTTTCATGTTTTTTTCCAGGATCTCCAACACAAATTCTTTCTGACGTTTGCCAGTATGACTTTGCTTTGCCACCAGGAATCTGTTCTCTGGCATCTAGAGCCTCTGCACAGAGACACAGGAGCTCCTGATCGTGTGTTTGCTTTGTTTTTCTTCATTACTACCTAAAGCTAAAAATCCAAAACTTTGTGATTGAACATTCAATAGTTAGTGTGAGCGACATATTTCACCCTTGCACTTGCAACAAGAACTTTTCTGAAAAACAGAAAAGGAATGGTGGTAACACATTGAAGTTTACTGCTCACTGCTTCCTGAGAAAAGATGGTAACTAGCCATCTTCCAACTGAACCTTTGTTATCTCTTTGTTAATACTGTTACTTATAGTACATTAAGACTCATTGTTCTAAGACTGGTTGTGATAACTAAGTATGGTAACATTAAACCTAAAATTAGTTAAATCCTAAGAGTGAAATAAGCATGAGTAGAAAAGACTATGGATGCTAAGAAATGACTAGTTGTATGTGTGTGTGTATGTATCTATATTTTTCTATGTATATCTGATGTTCTTTGAACTATTGCAGTTAATTTGAAGTGATAAGGGTTGTTTCATAAATTAATATTTTACATCTATCAAAGGAAATAAGGACTTGCTAGAGCAAGATGTACCTGAGATCACAACCCCAAAAAAAGGATTAACTGATTCTGTTTTAACCAAGCAAAAGATGTGTCTTCCATGCCTATCTCAAGTAATAGATAGTATCTCTGAGGAATTTTACATCTCGTACACCTTTCTAAACATTCGTCTACAAAAACTGTATAGTTCACTGTGCAAGAAATAATAATCCATGTAAGCAAAAATAACACTAAATGGTAGGATGTATTTATCCCTTTAGAGTGCTGAACTGTATTCTCTAATGTTCATGAGACTCAGGAGATACAGTTTAGAGCCATTCTGGGAAAAGAACCTGTAAGTTCAAGGAAGTACATTTTGAAGAAATCACAGGCATTTTCTTACCACCAGTATTTCTTGTGTCATCTAGAAACATGCAGAACACATAAACATGGGCTTTTGGATCAAGATCAAGATCAAATGATAAGCATGAACTGACTGAAGCAGGAATAGAAGGCGCAAGTCTTACCTGACCTTGATGTGGCTGCAGCTAAGGGTTTAATTTTCTGAACCAAAGTATTCCCTGCTGCAATGTCTACCCCACTGTTTTTGTAAGTCAGGCCTCTGAAAGAACGTTAAGAAACATGTTACGGCAATTGATTACTAAGTGCACAAACATGTATTTTCAAATAATATTTACTTCTTTGCATCATTGCATCACTATGAGGATTAACCATTCAGAATGCTAGTGTGCTGTCAAGTACTATTTTCCCACTTGCACAGTAACTTTTTTCATGTAAAATGATTTCTAAGCATTCCAGTACTCATTTCAGGCAGGTTCAGTGGCTCAAAGGTTAATCTTTTTGCTGTTTGGAACCTGACCTCAGACATTTACCTCAAGATAAGGAGTATTATACTGAAGAAACAAGACCTCATGGATTTGCACCACAGAGAGTCTGCCATAAGCAGTATTCAAATAGTTCCAGACATCCTGAAGACAGGATCAGAACATCATTGTCATATGCTATCCAGTCAAGTACCAAGATAAAAACTAATCAAAGAAAAAAATCCCAACACCAAGGTAAGACAGGTGGAATAATAGATCTGAATTTGCAAGGTTTGAATCACTGCTCCAGATATTGAGGTTTTAGCAGTATAGTTCCTACACTCAAAACAAACGTATACAAAAATGCGGTGCTAAATCTGAACGCCTCAGCACCATGCGGAAGCAAGCTCAAGTTAGCTTTTCAACTCAGAAGTATCACATAAATCAGTAATCTCTATGACACTTTTGAGAGTTTTATAACTGCATCTTAAAGGTTGGCTCTCCTTATCATCTGGAATGATACCACCACAAGGATAGGCACACTTCTTTTTTTGCTCAAATGGACTTCCTATTAAAGTATGTGCTTTAAAGTTCATTTAAAAAGCCTTAAGTTCCATTTTAGCAATCTCGAAAGACATGCCCATATCTGGGAGTCATATACAGCCATACAGTAGAGAAAACACACCTAGTACAAACTGGTATATCGAACTTGTCTGTCCACATCACCATACTGGGGACCACTCCACATTTACAGGAGGACCTTTCATTTTGGAAACAGTGAGTTTAATGACTTTTAATTACTAGTTGTACCCAACATATCTCACTCCAGTTAAGCAATTGTTATTTCAGCACTCTCAGTGCCATGAACTAGGCTACCTAGTGCATCCCTGGTTTAGGTTCATACCTTTTTCAGCTCTCATATTGATGTGATTCAGTACTAAGTTTAAATTTGAAGTGTGGAACAGACTGTTGATTAACAAGGACAAACACAACAGAACAACTGGGCAAAGACTAGTGCCACCAGCAAAACACAAAGGTATCTGCACTCACACTATATCACTGCTCAAAAATTTGCAAGAGGAAAACAATTATAAGGAGCAGCTGTTTAGCCTGTGAATAATACTCAAGGAAATACTAGCCTGCAACAGCAAGAGACCAAAGTCAGGCCCTTCCAGCCTGAACACAATAAATATTCACCATTTTTTCACCTTATTTTTAAAAGCATGCTACCTACTTTCATTCTTGATATCAATCTTTTAATTCTTTAAATTTCTTAAATATGATTTATTAAGTAAATATTCTGGATATTTTCACAAAGTGAAATGCATAGGACTTAATTCAGCAAATCTGCCAAGAGGAGGAGAGTCCCCAGCTTTACAGAGCCCACCGTTACCCTTCCTTAACTGTGTGCAGCACAGATGGCAAAGAGAAACGTGTCTGCCTCTTCTTCCAGTTTTAGGATGTCTGAGCAAAAGTTGGTGCAGACTCAAGGAGAGTCAAACAGCCACTGACTGTAAATTTAAAGCTCCCAGGAGTCTCCTCTGTAAGTTAGGGATCCTCCCAGCATACGGGCACTCCAGTCAAGAAACTTGCTGGCTATGGCCCATGTCCTCAGTGTTTTAGAGAACTGTTAATTAAAGTACCTTCTACTCTTGCCTGACATACTGACCTAATTTTTTTCTACTACAATACAAATATCAATTCCATATTTTCACATAAATTTCTCAAAAGATGCACAGTACTTCAGAGAGAAAGAAGACTAAATACGAATGCCCTTGTTCATTTAGTAAGTTTATTGATTGTAATTTTACAATATACTAATCAGTATACACTGTCAGCTCTCACTAATATGCTTCACAGACTACAGAATAACTTGTTATCAAAAGTTACGTTTTGAAGTAATTGGAGCATAGGCAGGCAGATATGCTTGATATTAGGTAAAAATCAGTCTACAAACCTGCAAGCTCTTAATAACATTAGAGAGACAGCGGGACATGGACCTTAACACCCCCCCCAGCCCCCGCATCTATATAATCTCAAGACTGTTAAACAAAATGCTGTGAAAATAAAACGAATAATAATAAAAAGGCACAATAGAACCTAGACATGTTGTTAGCCAGCTATTCCAATAAAATGCATAACCCCAAAAAAATAGGTGCAGATCATTTGAACCAGTTCTAAAAACTCTGAAATGAACCATTAAAATAGCTCAAACTTTGTTCATACATACATTTCATGGTATTAATATTAGGCTTATGGACAATGCAAATCTAGAGCAAAAGCTATGTTCTAAAGCCCAAGAACCAGAAGTTCTCCTTCACCAAAACAGACAGAACAGACAGCAACAGCACAAGTTATTCTTCTATGCTTGTTAATGCAGTTTAACTCAGACTTAGGAGAGTAAGAACATGGATGAGAGCCATCAAAAAGCCTGTTCCTTTCTTGGCTGGTCCTATATTGCCTGTAAGGATGGTAGTTAAAACTTGTGTAGAGTTATACGTAATATGAACAGTTTACTAATGTAAACCAGCAGTGTCCTTAAGTCCCTTTTACACCAGTTATTTCCATTTCAAGTGTTTCAAATATCTACCTGGATTGTCTCAGGAAAGCTATAGCCCGGTAACCAATGTCCTGTCTATAAATGGCACCCTTGAAGTCTATGGCTGCTACTCCCTTGTTGGCTTCTTGCAGTGCTGTCATTAGATCCTTCTTAATGGCAGTTACTGTAAGGACCCTTCCTCCACTAGTCACCACTTTGCCATCCTTCAGCGCCGTGCCTGCATGGAATACCTCCAATCCCAGCTGCTTAGCCTTAGAAAGTCCTGTAATTGTTGTTTAAGAAAATAAATACAGAAAAATCAATTGATTAGAACAACTTCTATTAAATTACAAATTAATAGATGCTCAGCACTTATTGACCATGTCCAAGTGATCATGCTGGCAAACAGGTTCAACATGTAAAAACTACACTTCGACGAAAGACAAGTCTGCTACTTAAATGCTCAGAGACACGGAAAGAGGTATTTGGCTGAAATGCCTGCATACAACATCTAGTTCCAGCTGGATTTTATACTCCACTGACGTAGAGACCACAAAATATGTCAGCATCAACATCACGTAAGAATCAGTTATCAGCCCAGAACCACTTTACTGTAACATCTACTAAAGAAATGTCACAGAATTTAACCATATAGCGTGGAGAATGGGAAATGTGATTGGTTTGTAATGCAATGCAAACTTTGACGTGAAAATTCAGTTGTTTCTTGCTGACCACAGGATCTACAGTGCCTGTGAATCTAAGTTACACTGATTCACCTTCTTCTGGCAGAAGAGAGAAGGAAGAAAGGGCAGGAGAGGAATCAGACTTCTGCAGACTTTCCTGCTACACTTACCTGTTATTTCCAAACCCTTGGGATACGTTCCTGGATACCCTTCGCTAGCCATGACCACAGTCACAGCTGCACTGTCTTCAAACCAAACTGGCATGCAACTAGACAACTTTTTATTGATAACAGCTTGCATAACTTCATACAAATCACTTTTCAACAGTGGAAGAATCACCTACAAAAATACAGACCAGCAAATTAAAGAAAACAATGTGCATGGTTATATTTTCTTCACTGAGCTTTTAAAAATACTAGCACACTTGTAAAAATAACATTAAGTAAGTATGTTCATATGCTGTATTTTCACACACACATACATACTGTGCATAATCTATGTACCTTTAAAAATACTCTTCCTTGAAGATAATTTCTATGAGTAAAAGAGCCGCTACATAAAGCGGAGAAAAGGTAGAGGCCAAAGAAGCCTATTTGATTCTGAAGAACAGAAATATAGGGTTTTTTCACACTTGTCAACAGAGAGTGAGGAAAAGAAGCGCTCACTTCTTTAACAAAGTAAAAATAAATCAAATCTATCTCCATTCCAGAAAAGATAGAATAGTGCTGAGTTTCACTCAAGCTTATCCTCCTAAAGCCCGTATTTGAGTGCGATTAGCTACTTATTCATCTGAAAATTAGTTATGAGTAATGGTAGATAGTAAAAGGCTTTTCCTCCTCCCATAATGTCAAACTGTACCTACATACAAAATAACTCACCTGACATTCTGGGTCACCAAACCTGCAGTTAAACTCAAGAACTTTAGGTCCATCTCTGGTAAGCATTAATCCAGCATAAAGCACACCTAGAATAAAAATTTATATAAAAAGCTACATAAGCAATTGCATAGGTCATTTGTTCTGAATCTATTTGTAACAGTGCTAAAAGGGATTCCACCTCTGCTCATTTAAAGGTAGGATGTTAAGACCTGAGAACTTGTGTTAAAAATAAATCAGGCAGAAATAGTTGTGGTTACAATTTTGCAGCTTATTTTCAAATATTCTCCTTTCTGTTCTTCCTTACTTGACAATTATCTACCGCTAATGAAATGATATCCATTGATTTCAGTGGTCTCTAAATCAGGCTGATGATACCAAACTCAGTTTCTACATAATGAGCAAAGTTATCTTCCTTAACTGACAGTGTGTGCTAGTCCTATAAAGAGGACAAGGTAAAAAAAAAAATTAAAAAAAAAATGTCTTCCAATTAAAAACCACAAACTTTTGTACGTACCAAAGTAGGGGACACCTTCTTTCCTCATGCCATCAACAGTTTTTTGCAGAACAGTATCTCTTATTTTCTGCAGCAAATCTTTAGAAATCTAATAAAACAGGATTAAAAAACAATGTTTGTAAAAAGGGTATGCATGATTTTTCCTACTGTGATGGCTAGTGTTTTTAAGAGCCAAGCAGAACATTTGGATAGTCTCTTGCTCACTTCAAAGTGTTCCATACTATGGAATGGGAGTATTTTTTTCCCTCTCTTCAGAAAACATACCACAGCATTAAAACAACCACTTGCATTTCTTCAGATACTTCTCCATGCTTAGATCTACACATGCAAGCAATCCTGTTGGCTTCACTAGAACAAACCATTTGCACAGACATACTAGAATTTCGATAAGGCCTCCCAAAGAAAAATCACAGTTGGGAAGTATAATGATTAATGATCAAATTTTATTCAGTAAATGAAATTAAAAGCTTTATAGAGGAACAAACCCTATTTTTTAAAAAATAAAAAAATAAAAATCACTGCCATGACACAGGTGAAGAGAAAGCAAAGTAAGTTCTTTGGCAAATAGAAGTTCCTTGCCAAAAGGAAACGGAACTACCTTAAGCCACAGCACAAATTCATCATTAGCTTAGTTCAGCACAAGACAAAAATGTGGTTTTAAGCACTTGGTTCTCATGATCAGTAGTATCTCATAATGCCTAAAAAACCAAATCAAAATACAAGGCTGCAGAAATAACACTTCCACCTTTGTATTTAAAAGCAATTCAGTAGAAATATTCTCTTTAGAGAGACAAACTTATTGTTATGGACTTTACTTGACTATGTCAGTTTTAGGCAGCTCTTTCCATCCACACGCTCTCTCCTGCCCATCATGGCAGAACTAAAAAATTCACACATGCTTGCAATACTAGAGCTGCAGTACAGTGGTAGTGAAACATCTCCTTGTCAACACATTTGTACCTGAGGTGCTGGGGAATAAGCTCCCATCCCTCCAGTGTTGGGGCCTTCATCTCCATCCATTAACCGCTTGTGGTCCTGGGCTGGAGGCATGGGTGCAATTGTGATGCCATCAGTGAAACACAAGCACTAGAAAATCAGAATAATTAGAACTCCAGTGGATGATCAAAATTAAAGTGTAAAATGTGCAAATAAATTTGATTTTCAGTGCTGCAAATGAATATTTAAAAGTATAAATTCTGACCCTTTGATAAAACAAACTACAGGATTATAAACATTTCCCTTTTCCCTCAGGAAGCAGTGCCGCATTTTGTATGACCTTCCTACAGAAATTACCCTTAATATAACGTATAAAAATGATAACATAACATCAGTAGTTCTGGTGAAAAGAAATACTCAAAATTTAAAAAAAAACCAAAACCACAAACCTTCATGATGAAAGCTACTTCTTCCCTCCCCCTTCCTCCAGCCTGCACCAGAAGGAAGGCGTTACATTCCTTTCAAGATTTCCTTTTCCTTGTTGATAAAACTATTTACTTTTGAAGTATTTATAAGTTTCTTGTACACCACATGCTTTTATCCTCAATATCTTCATAATAAGAAGCTTGCTGGCATCTTCTGTAACTGGATGATGATGTTCAATGTTTGGACTACTGCTAGCAGTACTCAAAAACATTTTATGCTAATTAAAAAACAAGCAAGGATTCCCCTACAAAACCTGAAAGTGCCAAAATATTAACATATTAAGAACTACAGCCATTTGTGGAAGGTGAATTATTTTGACATACAAGGCAAGCAGAATGTTTTCTTCACTGCTTGTCCGTCATCATAGAAAAAAAAAACCTTTAAACTGTGTGTTTGTATTACTGTGTTTTATTACAGTAAATCTAACAGTATTCTAATGACTAATTAAGAGCATTACATATTTTCCACCAGAGAATGGAGATCTGCATAACCCCTTAGTTCCTAAAAAGGCCAAGCCAACTAGGAAGGAATAAGGATGACCAATATCTGCACATCTAATTTTTTCGTATTGGGCAGGAAACCAGACTATGCAAAGACTGGCAACAGTTGGAGATGATTGCTTACTTTATAAATACCACCACCTCCAAGATGAATGTTCACAACATCCAGCATAATCCAATTGCAGCTCCAGGACTTGGGAACCTGAGCTGGTACTTGGCTGTTCTGCTTTGCGTGATGCAGGTGTCAAGTTGCCATGCCACCTCAAAACCTAGGCTCCAATTCTCCTTTTCTCCTTCAGTCTGTTCATTAGATCAGATATATTTTTTTAAATGAAGGAGTTGAATCAGCTTAAAACGAAGGAAATGTTCTTTCTAAATCTGCAGAGTAAATCAACACTGTCAAAACATTTAACAGCCTTCGTTTCCACGTCCTTTGTCCCTGGGTGCACTTCCACATTGTGATATCTCTGGCAGTGAAACTGGTTAAAGAGGATCCTGCCTGCGCCTGTCTTGAGCTGATTGTTCCCTTGCTCCAAAGGAGTTTGCTGCTCCTCTGAGATACAGTTCAACATATTCCCCTCATCAGCAAAGATTACTGAAGAAAGCCTCCGTCCTTCCTTACTCCCAACTACTCCTTGCCTTGCTCTGCACTTCGCCATCCTATTACTTGCACTGAGGCAAATGGACCTGGGCTCTAAACCTGAACACAGCAAACATGCAAGGCAGTGCTGATGATTTCTTTGAAAAAAGATCCTTAAGTTGTATCATCACAAAAAGATAACTATTGTAACTGAATCAAAGGCAAACAGCAGTGAAGCAGGTAGCAATGAAGAAGGGATATCTTATGCTGTCTTTGCTGTCAGAGGAATCATAACATAGAACTGCACGACCAATGACAATCAAAAAATTTAAAGTTTCATTTTTTTTCCCATGTGGCAACAATTGATTACTGTTTGAGTTATTTTTATTTAATTTGAATTATTTTAACAGACTGCAGGAAGTTTGTTTTTTAACACAGCTGTCTTTAATACAACTTTGTTTATAAACAGTTAACTGCTTTTAATTGAAGTAATAAAATCCTATACATCCCTGCTGTAGGTACTTACAAAGTGTTCCCTAAATAGTTTTGAATAGGTATAATCAAAGTGTTACAGTGAGATGCACACTTACAGAAACTTCTTCTCCTTCAAGAAGTTCTTCAACAACAACAGTTTCCCCAGCTGTGCCAAAAGTCTTATCCTACAGTAAAAACAAAATCTCTTCAGTTTTGTTTCAGTTATTTCCAACTATTAAAATTGCAACAAGAAAAAATATTTTTAATACAGCAAGAAAAACACAGCACAGTTTTGAGACGATTAATCTATTCTCCACCCTGGGTATGTTGGCAATGGTAAAATCTTTGCTCCTCTTTTCTGTTTATTCTTAAGAAAATGCTGATTTTATGCTTGAATATTTTTAAACTGCAGATGATATTTATGACCTACTGAGCAAGTCCTCGCACTCTACCTTTTAAAAATTGCACCCATGATACTGAAACCAGTAGCAAAGACTGTCTAGTGTATAATATGAACCTCTACCACATACCAAAGTACATTTCTACAGAATACATTGGAAAGGGCAATATTTTTATGTTCCAATGCAACGTCTGAACACTGACTGCATATTTAGGCAATTAAAAACAACCAATCCCCACTGACAAAGTACTCTCTAACATACATTGGGTTTTTTTGTTCAAGACATTGGACCATACGTTAAGATGTGTTTGTCCAACAACCACACACAGAGATAGACACAAATCAAAATGTGAGTGTAGACCCTGTACTCTGACTCTTGAAATGAAAGTGTTTCAGATAATGTCTCTTATGAATCAGCATGACTCCAATGAATTTTAAGATGTGCTGCTGACACCAGCTGAGGGCCTGACCAGTATGTGTCTTAAGAACTGTCTTAATTTTCCAGTTCTATGTTCCTAACTGTTCATCTTGGTTCTCTTCAGGTTTTGATGGTCCTAATGTATTTGTTAAATATCCTACCTAATTGTATACTTAGCTTTAAATAATTCCACTGGAATTTTACTACATATCTAAGTACTGTGTGACTGAGTTCTAAAGCTGACATTGCTTGTCAAGACCCAGCTCAATCACAGTATTAATATTACAGCACCATATTATAAAAAAAAAAAAAAGGAAATCCATATGGAAATAAGTGTGGGTTTTCATTAAGAATGATTTTATTTTAGCCTACAGGAACTATGCCTAGAAAGAGCACCCGGTCTCAAGCAACAAATATAACAAAGCTTCTTAGCTGTCCAAATAATGGGTAAAAGATTTGATGCCTTTTAGCCATGTTCCTAATACACAGAAATAAAGAGTATCTTTGAGACTCTGAGATGGTTAACAACTTATTTTGTGTGAGAACTCCTCCAGTTAGTGCATGACATTTCCACTTACCTGCATGATTTCAGTAACAGCTCTGCAGGCTTCTTCCTTGTTTGAAGCCACAATTACTCCTTTGCCAGCTGCCAGGCCGCTAGCTTTTACAACTAAAGCAGGGAAGTTTGCACTTCAAAGACAGAGAAGAGAAATTCAATAGTAGACACTGTATTGCAAATATATTTTGTAAGCATTTTACACTTTTCAATAGTTGAAAGATAATTCTCAGTTTTTATAGCAACCACTTTACCTTACAGAGTAACACACATGTAAAAATGAGGCTTCTCTTGCTATGCTTTGCCTGTGAAGGATTTCTGCTTCCTGTTTTTTCCCCACCACTGAATTTCATTACTGTCCTGAAAGGCTGCTCTCCTTTTAATAACTTACTGTTGTATCACTTTTGAGCCACTAGGATTGTATCCTGACTAGCAGATCATCATTTGCTGAGTAAGTCTCTGATGCAGATTTTGTATTTGTGGGGAAAAGTTACAAAGACGGTGGAACACATGATTATCAGGGTGCAAGCTGGATTCCCATGGTAGGCTACTTGAGAAAAATAAAAGCTGTCCTGTATTCTCCTCTAAACTGAACACTGAACTTCATTTTAATCTTAAATCTGTAAATAAAAGCCATTTAATTATCAGACTTATTGCAGTGTGATAGTGTCATTTTACATTATCCTTTAAAACCTTCACAGATGTTCCATCACAGCCAAAAATACCGATACATTAATAACCAACTGATTGTTTGTTTTGGGTACCTAGCACACTGCACATTGCTGTAAAAGAAATACTTCTAAAACAACAAGAATTTTACCTGTTAATAAAGCTACATGCTGCTTTAGGATCAGTAAAAGATTTCCATCTTGCCGTTGGGATCTCATGACGATCCAAAAAGGCTTTGGTAAAGCTCTTACTGGACTCCAGCTGAGCCGCCTTTGCTGTTGGACCAAAACACCTTACTCCAGCTGCTGTCAAGTCATCAACAATTCCTAAAAATGACAAGACAAAAAACATTTATAAATCACTGGATGATTTATAGGTAGTCCAAGTCTGCAGATGCACTGGGTTGTTGGACAAATATGTCAGGAATGATAAGCCATATATATTGCCTCAGTATCTATTTTACCAGATGGGCCTTGGGTGCATTCTTCACTGTAATCAGGAGAGGTAACCCTGTAATATCTGGGGCTGAGCAGATCTGCTGCATTTGGTAAGAGATGACAACTTTTTTGGTTTTATTATAGCTTTTAACTAAGAGGTTTGTGAAGATGACAATTGTTGATCATGTAAAAGATTAAAACAGAAAAATTATCAGCATGTTTATAAATGTGGGTTGGGTGGTTTTTTTCCCTAAATTATTATTATTTAAGAAAATTAAGATTCCATAGAAAATCAAAATCTAGTTAAGGTTCCTACATGGAAACACTTTGATACCTCTTTTACTAATCCCAAGCACTTAAAAAGAAACTGAACATTTAACGATATTTTAACTGTTGCATTGTTCAGATAATACCCTTCAGAAATTAATTTTCATCACAGCATAACCCTGAATTTCAGGGAAACTGCCACAGAAAATCTGTTTCCATTCCTACTGAAGGCTGTTGAGTGGTGCACAGAATATGGGGACTAAAGTTTACTTTCCTTCCTGAATTATCAAGGCTATGCTTTTTAGTTTGCTTTCTCTTACCAGCAGCAAGAGGAACCTCTGGGCCAACCACAACCAGCCTGATCTCCTGATCTCTGCAGAACTGGGCAAGTGCAGCATGATTGCTGATCGAAACCGCTGTCAAAGACACAAAAAGACTGCATTCATTACAGTTGCGTAGCACTAATTTGTCACGTAACACTGAAGCAGGATTTTCACCAGTCTCGCACTCCTGAATGGCAGGTCACTGTGAATCTGGAATACTGAGGCATACGCTAATATACAGTCTTACATGCAAGGCTGAGACCAAAATACACCACCAAACCTCCAAGCAAAGGCTGTGGTTTGACACGCATTGTCAACCCACCTTGCTCTTGAAAGTTTGAGAAGGTCTGAGTCCTTCTGCGCTGCCATACAGTAAACTGGTCTCATCTCTAGGAACATCCCATTTGCCAACTCAAGAATCATCATGAAGGATCCAAGTGAAAAATAACTCATAAGCAAAAAAAAAATCTTTTTTTTTTCAGCCAGTCTCCTCCCTGAGTAGGGTCATCATGAAGCTTTACAGATGTTCAGGCCAGCACAGTGCAGGGGACAGAAACAAGTGGCTGATGGTAGGACTGCACCTGCTTTCTTTTCTTTCTTCCTTCCTTCCTTCCTTAGTGCCAACTAAAAATTGCCACACTGCACTGAAACAAAGGAATCTGAACATTTTTTCTTGCATTAGGCTGATAATAAGGGCAATTGCTGTAATTATGGGTAAGGATATTTGGTCTTGGGTTTTTATCTTCCCATAAACAAACATTTAATATGATGATACTTGGAATACCCCAAACTGTGTAAACAAAAGAAAAAACTTGCACAAAAGATGATAATATTGCCTCATGATAAAAAATATTACGCAAGCCAATGCAATTCCACTGCTTTTATCAAGAATAAATAAAGCCAAGGTCTACAGAGGATGGCAACATGGACCCAGAGAGAGCCGAAAACATGGTGAGCACGGCTTGGCAGGGATTGGTTGCCCTTTGGGGAGGAGACTAAGACATCAGGGCATGAAGCTGGCAAAGGGAGCATGATACAGCACAGCACAGCCCCTCCTTGCAGCTGGGCTACTTTGCTTTAAGTTTTGCCCATGATCTCCTCTTGGTGACTGTACTGGCAAGCACACCAGGAGGTGATGGTCTCTTCCAGCTAATTTCTGGGGGAGTGACATGAGAAAGGAGAGGCAGTAAAAGAGCAGCTTCTGCTGGACAAACAGACATGATTTTGTGTTGGTGCCCACTGTGCTCCTGCCATCCTGTATGAATAAACTTCCTGCTTCCCCACGAGAGGCAGCTATTTCTGCCTAAGAGATAGCATAAAACTAACTAGCTGAAACCTACATCTTGGTTATAGATTTGCCTTATTTGGGGAGGGGGGAAACCAGTATGGACATTAATAAAACCAATATCCTTGATACCTATCTAACAATTCAATTAACTTTTTTCCACCATTTTTAAGTAAGGAGAAGCACAGGCCTTTGACTTCGACATGCAATTTATGCCAATTGATTTCTGGTTCACAAGAGAGCAAAAACAAAACTGTAACACACTTGGCCTTAAAGTACTGATTAATGTAAAGGTCAATATTATCTTTCAGTGCCATGGGGCTGTTGTGAAAGCAGCTGGAGAACAGCAGATCCCAACCAAAAACCGTGGGGCCTCTGGTGAGCAACCGAAGAGGAATGATTCCTGCTCCCCACGATTACTCCATACAAAGGGGAGCAGGGAAACAGCCCATGAGGTGATTGTGCTTTTCACTCCAAACTGTCTTGCCACAGGTCTGATCTACTAGTGATACAAACAGTGAATATGGCACCAGATTTACATGATCTGTGAGTGTCCTCGTAATAAGCGGAAAGGAATAAATCACATCATTAATATGTGACTTTACCTTCCCCCCCCGGCCAAACATCATTTTCCTCAGGATGTAAACAGAAAGGGGACATTTTTGTAGCTGCATTTCATTTCTCAAAACAACAGCTAGATGTTCCTTTCAAATCAGACAGAAGGACCTTGGACCAAGGTTTTCAAAGCTAGAGCTTGAAGCTAAGTTACGCTGAGAGCTAAAATATGATGGAAGGAGGTGTCAGGATGTTGAAGTTCATCCACAGACAAGCATATGTCTGTCTCTGGATTCAGCAAGCCACTCTGTACTCCTCTGGCATCAAAAATGCCCTGCCAATTAAATATAATTTGAATATAAAACTATATGTAGTCACTCAATCTAAATCTGTCTCTATTGTCAGAAACTATTACTGACTCAAATTAATCATGAAAACACTTTTTTTTTCACTTAGATACCAGCAAGGCATGAAGTATTTAAGGTTATTTAGAAATTTAAGCTTATCCTTATATGTTTAAGAAATCATCTGAGAAACAGAATTGCAATGCTAATTAAAGGCAGTCTCACGAACCATGGAAGGAAGGTGAACTTTCAGAGCCAAGTCTTCATTATACCAAAAAAACCCAGAAGCAATGGTAGCAGTTTCAAAGACACTGTTACCCAGGCTCACACAATGTAATAGAGCTCACATGCTTCTATAAAGCTGTTTTCCATTTTCTTCCCCGAGTTAAAATCTAGACTTCAGTGGTAGGACTAAAATGCCTGAGCAGATAAAACACATTGTTTCCTTAAAAACTAAGCAAGTAAAACTCTCCACAAATTCTAAATTCTTCCTGCCTCCTTGTTGGCTGAAGATTTCTCTCCCAAAGTGAGTCCATGGTCTACAAAAAAAATATTTTTAGTACACATGGTAGATTTCATGGACCTAGCTTGAGCATTATTATGTACACACTCAAATATTTTGCACCACTGAAGGTGCAGGTTTGTTTATGGAATAACAAGGTGAGAGAAAAGCACAGCAGTTTTTGAAAGACAACACTTTTGAAAAAATACTGAAATTACCATTCTGCAGGCCATACAGACTGGCATTGACTCCATTTAGCATGAGGGTAAAGCAGAAAACATGACTTTCCTGTCAGGCCCTTCCTTGGGCCCTCTGCTCAGAGGCCAAATAGAAAGAACAAAAAAATACTTACGATACTGTGACTAGTCAGAGAAATTAAAGTTATTTAAACAGCCTGTAATTAAGCATTCCAATGGAATTGAATATGATAATTACCTTCTTTACAATAATCTAACAAGATCCATGTTTCCACATGAGATAGTAACAAAAAAATATTTTCCTCACATATGTATATGAATGCAGAAAATTGATCTATATGTTTCATGTTAACTATGTTAACTTTAATTCTTTATGTTATCACGTTTTAAAGTGGAAACCTAAGTCAGTTGTTTAAAGTACCTAATTTGGGATCTGTTATATAAAGGACACAATACCAGAATCTCTGTAATTACCCCTGGTTTTGTACTGATTCACTGTGTGCCTCCAGGCAAGCACCTCAGAGCAGGGTTGTTTTTTTTTTTTTTTTTTTTTTTTTTTTTTTTTTAAATGCAGCATGTAACTTTAGATGTTCAATTTGAAATACCTTGATTTCTCAAAACTAATAACTATAAATAGTTTCAATTACAGCCAGTCAGAGCTTAACATACTAAGCTAGAAGCTCAAAACAGGCAGTCAGTACAAAGAAATGAACATTTGAAAATGCTCTTAACTTCTGAAAGTCACCAAGACAAAGGAATGACTGTTTTCTTATGGCTGAACATTTCAGGGCAGAAAATACTCTCATCAAAGGTTGTAAGGATCCCAGAGCTTCAATGTGCTTCTGAGAATATAGTAGTGAATTTAGAATTTTAGGTGCTGGCATTTGCTTCAGGCACTTTTTAGCTGTTCATCAACCAGCTGTTGTTGATTGGAACAAAGAGAAACTACCACCCTTCCCTGCTAGGCTGCTGGGAGGCAGGAACTACAACAGCTATCCCAAGCTGTATTCCCATTGGAATGTGCATCAGACAGATGGAGTTTTGGCTGCATCCTTCACCCCCAAACCTAAAAAATTAGATGTCACAACTGAGAGTATATAAAATGAGTGTCAGTTGCAAAAAGCTTCACTCAGACATATTTTTAACTGCATCTATATGATCTATTTCACACGTCCAAATAGTAACAATAATCCTTTCATATTAACAGCTGTGATTTCAGATTGATGACTAGAACAACTTACTGGTTGAATTACACATTTCAAAATGTTCTTTTTTTGGTTTTACCTGAATTTGAAATTTTTCCATTGTCAGCTGTTCCTGCATTTCCTGGAGCAACAAACACATGTTTTACATGTGGGGACTGGGCCAGCTTCCAGGCTAGTGCATGCTCTCTCCCTCCACTGCCAATCACAAGCACTCGATCAGCCATTAGTCTGCATAAAACCAGAACACAAGGGAAACAGCCAGAGTTAGCCACATGAGGTTAGAAAAGCAAGAGCTTCGCAGACCACGGTTTTAAGGGCTGGGTGCAACACAACTCACAACAGAGGTGAATGTCACTTTGTTTCAGGAAGTGGTATTTCTATATGGGTTTTATTGGTTTAAAAAAAAACAAAAACAAAAACAAAAAACAACAGAGAGATGTACATGAAAAAGGATCACTGACTGAATCAGATGCGACATAAACTAAATGTCAATGACCGAATTGTTCCGGAACACAGATGTAACCTGCAGGGCAATCCATCCTGGTTTTCTTTTAGTCAGATTGGCAGCTGCTCAAAGTTATACAGAAGTCTGGATATAAAAAAAAACAAAACAAAACAGAAACCAGGAAAAACCCTCAAAAGTGACCTGGCTGTGATGTGTAGCCTGGAAATACCTGGAGAATCCATGTATGGAAAGGGCAAAGCTCTTCTGATGAACCAACGGTATGAACACAGTATTACAGTGTTGAGAGCTGAACGGGACCAGTCAAGAAGCTCTGAAAGAGCTCTAAATATTTTATGAAAAGGAAAGGCTAAAAGCAATGGCACAGGGAAATCAACTTCCAGCTCTGGCTCTTCTTGGGGTAGGACAACCGGGAGGCAAGCAACAGGAAAGACTAGGTGTTATTAACAAAGAAGATTGTTCTGAGAAGGTACTGTGGGACACCCACTCCTCTCCCATTCTACTGAGTTTTAGAAATACCCATTAACACTCTCTTGGCCTCCAGAAAGCAGGTATGTGAATGAAGGCTGCAACTTCATTACAATTTCAAACTGTCCAAAACCTTTTCAGTAGTTTGGAAACAAAACAGTCACAAAAATGAAAGGAACTCTCTGTTTTGCCCTCACTATGTCACTGTGTGTGTACACATAACTCATACTGGACTGATGTCAAACTTACAATTTTTAATTTGAGCAGCTCTGAAAGGTAGCCTTCACTTTTTAAAGACATATTTACTTCTAAGCGTATTTCCTACTTGTTTACTGGTATATGTCACCTCGGTATTGCTGTCCTGACAATGACACCACACAGCTAGCAAGAGTGTAAAAGAGTTCACTTACACTGAAAAAAAACTCTCTGGAACTCAGGAAATAGTAAATAAAGAATTACATAATTTATAAAATAAGTACATATACCTTTACCTGGAGTTCATTGAAAAGCAAAGGCTAGCCTCCTAAGCTCTTCAAAGAACAAGCTGTTAAGAGCTACAAGTTACATACACAAATGATGCCACTGCACTGGTTAAAATGAGATTTTCATTCACAGAGGCCAAATGGTTCCTGAAGAAGCTATTCAGCAGAGCAGAAAGTGAGCAGCTACAAATTGGCAGGTGGTCTTAAGGCCAAGTGCAGCATGAACTACTAGGAAAAAAAATCTAAAAGCTTTAATTCGTAACGTATGCAAAATAATAATCTAAACCTATTAAAAATGGCTTAAGAATTTAAGAAATGAGAATAAACAAAACCAGTTTTGTTCTGGAAAAGGCACAATTTATTCAAAGGGCTTTGCATGGCCAGTGAAGAGATCTGAGTGCCCCTCTGCTCTACAAATCACCTCCCATTTGTGGGGAGGAGGAACGCAGCCCAGATAAGAGTTTGGTCAAAAGGAACAACCAGTCTCCCTGTTGTAATCCCAGCACACACAACACGCAACCCTTCGTCGCTCCCCATTGCCTCTTCTGTCAAGCAGCTGGTCATTGACCCCCGCTTACCCATAGGTACAAAGCCTCTTCCCAAGGTGAGCCCAGAGAAAAAACCCAAACACGCACACACAATGCCGCCTGAATGCACACAGGTGACAGCTCTGTTTCAAAGAGCAACAAAAAGTCAGAACTCCTCTGTGGTCCCCCCTTTGTGGGAGGCTAAGAGAGGATGACTAACACAAAGCACATCCTAAGCAAAAGAATAGAAAAGGGGGAAAAAAAAACCCCAAACATGAGATATCTAAGGGAAGAGCAATAAGACTGGATAGAAAGCAGATTTTCAGCCAACTGATGACTTAGTTGTTCATGCTTGACTTGAATAAAGCTGTTCTGATAGCTCTGACCCTGGAGAAACCCATCCTTCCTGAGGACCTGGACTACGCAGGAAACACCTTCTGCTCTGAGGGTGCTATGCAATGTGTCTGGTGAGCCTGATTTTTAAATCCAACCCACTGTAACAAAGTGGAAGAACCCACATGTGTTTTAGAAGGTGTTTGTATGTCATTTGCTGACGTATTTTAATCTGTTGATGACGGAATTATTTTTTCAGAGAGTGATATTTTCAGGTAAAACATCCAGACAGAGTAAAGACAAATTAAACATGAGCAAAAGGGTAAAATAAAGAAAATTAACACAGATGTTCACTATGAACTAAATACACTGGTGTTGAAATTTAATTGCAGTTCTAGGCTGGGCGAGACCAATAGCTTTCTAATGAACAGTGTTTGACAAAATACATGTTGCAAAATTGCAGAGAATCTTTAAGGATTACTTACAATAAAAAAATCCTACCACACTGAGGTAAAAATTAGCAGTTGTGGTACACGTATCCGAGACACAAGTCAAGTTAAACCTCTCTTGTATTGCAATTCAAACAAAAAGAAAAGATAAAAGAATAAGGGACTGACTACAACAATGGGATGAATTATATAAAGACAATAACCTAAGAAAAAAAAAAAGCAATAAAAAAGAATAAACCATGTAGCAGGCTGTTGTCTCCTACACTAATGTTAAACCAAATAAGCATGTTTCCAGTGCTGCCCATTGACAGTTGTAATTAAACAGTAATTGTTAAGGCGAATTTTATCAATAAGTTGAACTATACACACTACATAATTTTCTGACAAGTCCCTCAGAACCGTGTGCAGACATTTGAACCCGAACAGAGAACATACTTACTCAATCCTATGTGCTGCCAGCCTGAGGAAGGGAGTACTTGCGTTCAGATGCACAAAGAGAGAGGAGATAAGCAGCCTCCGGTTAAAATGTAGCACCCCTGTCCCAGTATGACCACCCCGCTGACGACACTGTGCAGCTAGCCAATGAAGGGGGAAGTCCAGCCACTCCAGCTGGGAAGAGGGGACAGAAGCTTCCACACAAAAGGTCTAGGAGAGAGGTTTTTTTTTTGCTCTGCAAAACCTTTGCAGAGCAGAAGCAGCACATCCTGTTGTTTCTAAACAGACAAAATAAATTCTGTCTCATCCCAGGTATTTTTTTCAGTTAAAAACTACTTACCAATCAGATTGTAAACATTCTCTTTTTATTTAAAAATAAGACAAAGCATTTTTGCTATGCATAAAATTGCTCCATTCAGCCTGCTGCTTAAAAGTAATGTGACAGTCTTGAAGATCCAGTGACACTGCTGCCAGCTGCAGTAACTCACCATGCTGGCAACTCAGTCAAAGAATCACTTCCTTTTTCCCCTGAAGTAACATACTCTATGTTATAGAATACTACTGTCAGCTGAAAAAAATTAATTATATACAGCATAAAGTTTTATATGGGAGCATGTAAATAGAATAAGCCAGGTATCTTATGTTCAAATAAAATGTAACCATTTAATAACAAAATATGAGCAAAAAAAAAAAAGTTTCAGTGATTTGTTTAGAAACTGAATGTTATTTGTGCATCCCACAAGTGGTATCCTAGCAACTTTCATTTAGGGATGTTTCTTGAGAAGAACTTCCGGTGGCAATCACAGTTTAGAAGGCTCAAACCTAGCAGTTTTTTTTTTTTTCTTTTTCACACTGACATAGAAAGACATTGTGTAGGCCCTCTACTGCCCAGCAAGAGCTTGCATTAAAAATTAAAATTCCAAGAAGCACAATTTCTTTTTATTTTGTCAATAATCCAGGAGCCAAAAATTTGTTCTCAAAAGACCAAAAGCCATTCACAATAGGTATTTCTTCTGTGAGGGTTATCACACACTCAGGGTTTTTGGAAGCAATATGTGAAATCCTTAAAGATTCCAAAACACAGCATATAATTACCTTCAGCAACCACTGTCTGCTATTGTAAAGGAAGATATGTTTGTTTAAAAGATGTTTTAAAATAAATAAAAACAAGTAGCAGTTCAGGAAAGTGTCTGTTACTAAGTCCTTGTATGAAGTAAGAACAGGAAAGCAGAAACAAGCTAATCACTCCAGGTATCCAAGACAAGAGGACATGAGGATAGAGGGAAGACAAACTGATTTCCAGAACCTATCCCTGAGGTCGCCAGTAGTAAATCAGCAGGGATGGGTTTCAGCCTAGAGACCTTCATCCTCCATAAAATGTAAGGCTCACCAAGAAGCTGGGAAACTCTTCCACTAGGTCAGGATCTGTGGAGCAGAGAAAATAAAGTGAGGAAGGCAAATCCAACAGTGTCTGAGAGTTTTCCCCCATCCTGACTCCTCCACCAGGCACAGAGAGATATCAGAGTTTTCCCCCATCCTGACTCCTCCACCAGGCAGAGAGATATCAGATGCAGATGGAAGTGAGAAATGGTTGCTAACTCAGTTGCTGCCCCTTCTCTATTATCAGGGAAGG